AAAAGAGATGCTTTTGATGATTCCCTGGGACTCCTCTCTCCCAGTGCTATCAGCCCCCAAGAATTCTCATGGGAGTCTGTGGCTAACGTCACGCGGACCCAAGACACACACAATCAGGAGATGTGTCGCTATGGGAGTGTCGCTGCTGGAAACAGCTTCCGGGCACACACAGAGCTTGGCCGGCTTGCTCTGCCATCGGCCCCGCGTGCAGTTGGTAGCAACACGTCTGTCACCATGAAGGGCTCTCTCGGCGACCCCGGGACCTCTTCACCAGGCTCCGGGAAGCCGTCTGCCTGAGATTCAGCTCTTGTGGGGTGTGACCTGAGGCCCTGGGTGCACCAGAGCATATCGATGAGAAGGATGGAGTCAATCATTAACACATGCTTGTGGACAGGCCAGGCCATAAGATCGTCTGGTTATCTCTGCGGCATCTGTCAGTGGCTGGAGCTGGCTTGCATGGTTTATGAGACCCCCAGTCAAGTGTCCAGGAAATGGGCACACACTGTGAGTCAGACGCGCCCACCCCGGCCCACTTCCCATGCCCGCCACTGACATGCCACGCCGGGAGCACAGTGTGCTGGGAAAGCATGTGGCACAAGTCTGCCATTCCAGGTTCTGGCAGTGGGGGGTCGTGAGGGTTTGCCGGGGGAGATTTGATCTGTGAAACACCCAGGTAATGACAGGCCTCTGGTTTCTTTCCTCAGCATCAGCGTCTCCTTAAGCCCGCTTCCTGAGGGTGTTAAGTTCGGGATCAGAGGTGGGAAGAGAGTGCTGTCTGTCTTTCATCTTCTGAGTTTCAGGCACCCTGCGGCCCACTGTGAATTAACGTGCCTTTGTTTGTCTTTGCTCTTTGGCCTCAAGTGGGTAACAAACATTTTCCTGAGACCGTCCACTGGGAAGGAATTTCCTACACTGTTTTAGCATCAGGTAGCCCTCAACCACTAGTAGATGTGTATAGTTGTCATGAATCCTTTAAGAATTCTTGGGGTTCTGTAGCATTCTCTAATTTTGTTGATCACATGCGTGCTAAGTCACTTCAGTCATGTCTGACTCTGTGTGACGCCATGGACTGTAGCCCGCCAGGCTCCTCTGTCCTTGGGATTCTCCAGGCAAGAATACTGGAGCGGGTTGCCATGCCCTGCTCCAGGAGATCTTCCCAACCCAGGGATTGAACCTGTGTCTCTTAGATCTCCTGCACTGGCAGCCAGGTTCTTCACCACTCACACCACTTGGGAAGCCCAATATTGTTGATTAGATCCAGCTAATTAAACCAAATAATTCTGGTCCTCCTCCCTAAATTGTCGGATATTTCAAATAGAAACATTGTTTTGGACTAAAGTGTTTGGATTTGCTTCCCTTGGCCATACGATGCTTCCTGTTAAGACCAGGTTTGGCTTATTTTGTCCTTTCTTGCCTCTTCTGTCTAATTTTCTGGATTAACTTCCCATGGAACAGAAGCCCTCTGGAGCTGTTCTTCCTCCGTAAGAGCCTCACTGTCTTGTTCTTTGTCTCCACTGGAAAGTTGGAGGAAATGCCCTTTAAACAATTTTAGATTCAAGAAAGCCACCATTTTCCATTTACAGCTCTGCAACTCACCAGCGTATCAGACTGTGCCCAAGCAAATAAACGTCGCTGGGGCCAGTTGCCAACCCCAGACCTGAGCCTCCCGATGGGTGGAGAAACAGACCAGGGTCGTGCCCAGCTCAAGTCAGCAGGCAAATGCCAGGGGCCAAATCGGTGTCTGCACAGCCTGGCTAAGAGTCAGACACAACTTAGCACTATCTTTCTTTATTTTCTTTCTTTCCCCAACAAAGGCAGACAGAGTGAAGGGATGACCACCACAGAGGAGAGCCTGTGCCTGCGAGTGGGGGCTCGTAGGGGAAGGGCCAGAGGGACCCTGGGGACCACGCATCTCTGGGGAACAGGGTGGCTGATGCTGACATCACTGACATCACTCAGTTTTGTAAGTCATTTGACATTCATAATAAGACTCAGAATGCCACCCACGTGCTACCAGAATAGATTAAAACACAGTCTCCGTTGACCGAAGATCCCGGTCATCGCCCAGGAGGTAGTGCAGTGGTTCCCCCTCAGAGAGGTCACCCCAGTGAGGAAGACATAACGCACACACATGGGGACGTGCCGGCAACGTAACGGTGCAGAGCTTGAAACAGCACACGGGCAACCAGGTGGCGAGTCAGGGAGCCTCTCGTGAGTTGGGCTGAACACGCAGCTGATGTCTTCAGGGTGCAGTCTTTATGAAGGACTTGGTATCGCTGCTAACTTCCGCAGGCCACTCACCTAGAAATCAAGACCCTGTGACATTTGCCCTTCTGGTCTTGTCTATCCTGCATTTTTTGAAACCATGGTTCTTGAATTCAGTTAGCAGCAAAATGAGCGGAGGAGCTTATTAAAACCACAGATACTTAGGGACATATCGTTGGAGAATCTGATTCACAGGCAACGGTGGCCCAGGCATCTGAATTTCCACTAGGGCTCTTGGCCAGCCTCACGTGGGTGGTTAAGAGACCATGTGTCGAGAAACATGGCCCTGACGAGGGGTCTGAGTGGCCCTGATGGGAGATGTCGCAGCTTGCCTCATCTGGAGTGGAGATAGGAGGGCGTGTCTCGGGTGGGTGGGTGGAGGGCGGCAGGTGGGCAGAGGAGGCGGGGGCACTCAGGCAGCCCCCAGGGGAGCCAGAGTGGGGTGGCCCTGTGAGGTGTCCAGAACTGGAGGCGGGGGCTGGGTCAAGGGAAGGTGCCGTGTTGCTCTGCCAAGGACGGAGGCTGCTCCCGGAAGGAGCCGTGACCTTGAGCAGGGAGGCGCGCCTCGCTGAGACGACTCCCAACAAGTCAGCACGAGGACCATCTGCAGGCAGCCCTCCCCAAAGCGGGGGATCAGGGTCTGCGTCCTGATGCCGGTCTGGGCGGTTCACTCACATCTGTCACAGCTCGGGGGTAGAGTTTGGGGTTCCCACTGGACCACACGGTCTTCCTCCCCGAGGCTTCCTTCCCTCCCTCTCTTCAGCTTCTCTCAGGCTCAGATTTTTAGTTTAAAATACAGCGCCCCCCTCCCCCCATAATACTCCTGCACCATCTTCTTCTCTTGATCAACTGCAAGTCAGCATCCTTATTTCTCCTGTGATATTCCAATCTGTCCCCAGTACAACCCTGTTTTCTCAAGTCAAGACCTTAAGTCATTAGGGCCCAGACCTGAGTTCTGTATGAAGATATGGAAAGCCTTGTCCCTGTGGGTGTAAGCCTGGAGGAGACACTTCCCTGAAAAGCTGTAGGGCTTGGGCTGACCCGGACAAACCGCATCCTGGGAGTGACCATGAGGAGGGACCTGGTGAGCACTGCTGACGCGTTGGGGTCCCAGGAGACTGAGTGGGCAGCTTGTTTGCTGGGTCACCTTATGCTAAATCCAGCTTGAGTCAGTGACAGAAATAATAAAACGAGGCATCTGTGGATTCAATTAAGCATAAGGGAACCCTGATGGGCACACGCAGGAGAGGCTGAGAGTTAATAACTCATGAGCATGCCCAGGAAGAAAACAGGGACTGAAAGCAGATTAGTGAGCAGTGATTTGTGTTAGAAACGAAAGCTCCCGTTTCTGGATATTCACACACCTGACGGGTTTCCTGGCTTCCTCCAGCAACACTTCCTTCTGCTCCTGCATCCAGTCAACACGCATCACCCAAGGATACACCACGCCATGGGCCCCCAATGGGACTGCAGATCCCAGAAGTGGGAAGGGTGGGAACTGAGAAAACAGTAACAGGACACTCAGTGCCCGCGTGTGGGGAACCAGTGTTGCTTAGATCTTGGAAACTGCCTTTACTTGTTCAGGGTCTTACTTCATTTCAGAGTGTGCTCAGGATGCAGGTGGCTGCATTAGTGCCATACATTCATTCTATAGATGAGTGAACAAGGCAAGCGGCATTTACACAACCTCCTTGTCACACACCTCCTTCCGGGACCGACCGGGAAGGACGGCAGGATTCTGCTGCCTTGTCTGCTCAGCACCAGGCTGCCTACCCGATCGAGCCCGGAAGGGAAACCTCCTGGGAGTTGTCAGGGAGACAGGATTCCTTGTGGCCACGGTGGGCTTGGGTCAGGTTCCTCCAGGAGAGGGTGTGTAATTATTTCATTCCTGTAACCCTGATAGCACTCGGCATCAGCAACCTTGCATTATTATTTCTTTTCTGCAGATATGTCCTAAATCCTCAATGCTATTGTGAGTTCAAAGGGTCAGAGGGTGTGACTTGACTCCCACCCAGGTCAGCTCTGGCATGTGGGTGCCTCTGTCACGGGCAGAGGTAACATGTCTTAATCATTAGTCTGCACACAGCATTGGCAATGTTGTTAACGGTTGTAGTAGACGCGTGCTTGTGAGGATGGTCGTCGTCACGGAGAACGGGTGGAAAGCCATCAGGGATACTCAGCAGGAAGGCACCCTTGAAAGGGCAGAGATTTTCACAAGGAGTCGTCCAAGTAAAGACAGTTAGTCTGTAAGAGCCATGTACATATCTTCAACAGATTTTAAATTAAAAGAAATGAAAAGCATGCATGGAGTGAGCGTGTGTGTGTGCATGTGTGTGTGTGTGTGCACACGGGTGCCTGCTAGCTTTACCATGGTTTCCAAAGAATGCCTTTAGACGGAGACTTTGCAGGTCTGACCTGCTTAGTTTCAGTTTGGATTGTGGGCAGACTCACAGCACTTCTGTCCTCCACTCTTTCTGATGTTTTCCATCTCTCCGTCTCTCCAATCCTATGTTACATGTTGGCTGCGAGATAACAGAAAAGGTTAAGTTCGCAGTGATCCATAATTACGGAGAACCAAAGCTTCCATGCCAGAGTAACGAGATTAACACCTTTTTGACAGAATTTAATAATATGGTTTTATAATATTTAATTTTGTTCAGAAAATATCTCCCAGTAGGAAGCCTTTTTTCCTTTACTTACCTAAACATTATTCCTTTAAAGCAATTTCCTGGCACAGAGAATTTATTATGTAGACCCGTGATCTGGTTCTTACGGGCCTCGGGGGGAGGGATGGATTAACGTTGAGCTACTTTAGACATTCAACTGAATTTGACAAGCGGAGTCGTCAGCTTGCTGTAAATAAGGGCGGTTACATCTGGATTTGTCTTATTTTAAGGACGATGAACGAAGGGGAACATCGTTTCTCCCAGATAATAAGGATTCTACTTCCGCTTCCTTTGCACTGAGGTTGGAAGCAGTTTGCCACATTAATCTGTCTTCCCCGTGGGTCTCAACAGTCTCACTACATGTCAGTGCATTTCTGCTAAATGACCTAATTACTCACTTTAACACCTCAAACAGTGATTTACGTCCATAGGAAATTCCTGGTGCAATCTTCTTGCTAAAGTTATGCTGGTAGGACCAGTGAGCGGAAAAAGGATCTCTTCACTCTCTTCTTATACAGCTGGAGTGGACTCTTCCTAAAGAGGAGAGGAAGGAAGGAATTCCGCTTTCCTCAAACAGTGATATTATTAGATTGAACAGCCCTTCATCAGTCTTTAAAAATGATTTCTTTAGAAAGATCTAAACAGAATGTCCTCAGACACATTGCACAAAAGGGAAGCAGCAGTTTCTGGATTCTCCCCTGGCCAGAGTCCCTCCTCCTCGCCCCTTCCTCCCTCTGGTACCCAGTGTGCTGGAGGAAGTGCCCTGGTGAGGGCTGATTCCTGAGAGGCCACCCTGGAGACATTGGCTGGGCAGGTGCAGGAGGACCTCAGCTCCAGCTCTGAGCTGGTTGTTGTTTAATCCGGTACTCAGTTGGGATCCAAATCCAACATTTCTTCCCCACCCATCTTTCCTCCCAAATTGCTTGTCAGCACATAGCCCCATAAAGAAGGCTAAGCACCAAAGAATAAGGATTCTACTTCCGCTTCCTTTGCACTGAGGTTGGAAGCAGTTTGCCACATTAATCTGTCTTCCCCGTGGGTCTCAACAGTCTCACTACATGTCAGTGCATTTCTGCTAAATGACCTAATTACTCACTTTAACACCTCAAACAGTGATTTACGTCCATAGGAAATTCCTGGTGCAATCTTCTTGCTAAAGTTATGCTGATAGAACCAGTGAGCGGAAAAAGGATCTCTTGACTCTCTTCTTATACAGCTGGAGTGGACTCTTCCTAAAGAGGAGAGGAAGGAAGGAATTCCGCTTTCCTCAAACAGTGATATTATTAGATTGAACAGCCCTTCATCAGTCTTTAAAAATGATTTCTTTAGAAAGATCTAAACAGAATGTCCTCAGACACATTGCACAAAAGGGAAGCAGCAGTTTCTGGATTCTCCCCTGGCCAGAGTCCCTCCTCCTCGCCCCTTCCTCCCTCTGGTACCCAGTGTGCTGGAGGAAGTGCCCTGGTGAGGGCTGATTCCTGAGAGGCCACCCTGGAGACATTGGCTGGGCAGGTGCAGGAGGACCTCAGCTCCAGCTCTGAGCTGGTTGTTGTTTAATCCGGTACTCAGTTGGGATCCAAATCCAACATTTCTTCCCCACCCATCTTTCCTCCCAAATTGCTTGTCAGCACATAGCCCCATAAAGAAGGCTAAGCACCAAAGAATTGATGCTTGTGAACTGTGATACTGGAAAAGACTCTTGAGAGTCTCTTGGATGGCAGGGAGATCAAACCAGTCAATCTGAAAGGTAATCAACCCTGAATATTCACTGGAAGGACTGATGCTGAAGCTGAAGCTCCAGCACTTTGGCCCCCTGATGAGAAGAACCAGTTCATTGGAAAAGACCCTGATGCTGGGAAAGATTGAGGGCAGGAGAAGAAGCGGGCAACAGAGGATGAGTTGGTCGAATGGCATCACCGACTTGATGGACATGAGCTTGAGCAAGCTCCGGTAGTTGGTGATGGGCAGGGAAGTCTGGCCCTGTTCATGGGATCGTCAAGAATCAGACACAACTTAGGGACTGAACAGTAGCAACCACATTGGCCTCGTGGAGAGGTTCAGATGCAGTCGTCCCAGAGGGAAAACTCCTGTGAAGAGGACGTAGCTGGAGAGAAAAGGATGAAAGAGAGGCTGGTGGTCCTGGGGTGATAGACTGGGACACAGCTCACCTGCAGGACAGGATTCAGGAAGCTTTGTGGGTCTTCTCTTCCTCATCGTCATGAAGCCTCCCAGGGTCAGGGTCTGTCCACATCCACACTCAACCAAAGGCCCGTCAGAAGATGTCCTGTGAGTAGTAAGTGGCAGGACCAGTTTTTATTCCAAGAGTGAAATATGGAAAATTGATGAACAAACACATCTAGTAATTTCTGTATTTGAATCCAGCCCTTTGAGGGGGTCCTTCCTAAGTGGGGTGGTGGGCACAGTGCAGAGCCTCGGCCCTGCAAAGCGGATGCACAACTCAGCCAGCCTGTCTTCCCGGCCACCGTGAGGGGCCCACTGAGGGGGCAGAGACTCATAGGGGCAGAGTGGGAGCTACGCTGTGCTCACGTGGGGACCACCGCCTGTGGCTGGTGGGCTGACTGTGCTAGAAATGACATCAGCTCCGGTGAGAGGGACCTGTAACACTGTGCTTCCTGGATACAACCAATGTCAACACAATGTGTATCACCCCCCAAGTTAAAACAGTCAAGGTGTTGACTACCTAAGGAGTAGCCAAAGGAAGTTTAGGTGTAAATACTGGATAAGCAGACCCTTCCTCTTGCCAACACACAGAAATAGGCCTCAGTGACTCTCAGTTGATGATTTAATTGTTAGAACTTTGCCATTTCCCCAGCTGAGCCCCAACCCTACCTGTGACACGATCGCTATGATTTATGACTCAAAAGACCTTGTGTTGAGCAGCATTTTGTAGTTCATGAGAAAGTGGTAAATTATGATTTCTATAGGGCTTACCTAGATAGCATATTAAAAAGCAGAGACATTACTTTGCCAACAAAGGTCTGGGGCAGGATTCTAGGAATAATCCCTCCTGTCTACAGCCTCAGTGGATCTGTTTTGTATGTTGGACTTTCCTGCGAGGTTTCCTGTGAAGAGTGTGGTATCTTTGATGAGTCCAGCTTTCATGATTTGCTTGAGGATGGAAGATGGAGTGTTCTGTCTGAAGTGTCTCTTAGCTTCTGCATGCTCTCCTCCCCACAAGTGGTCTCCACATTGTCCTGATGGTAGTTTTCCAGTGAACTCAGGCCCCAGTCTGCCAGATAGCCTTCAGGATAGCATCATCCTGCTTCTCTTATGTGACAGTAATCTCCCTGCCACTGTGTTCTGTGCATGCGTGCCCTGGATACCAGAGCAGAAGCAGCAGCCAGTTGGGGTAAGGAGGGCGCAGCAAAGTGACCTTCGCAGCTCTCTTGGAGGTAGTTTTTTGCATGTGTAATGTACCATTGCTCAAATTTTTATTGGAGTATAGTTGATTTACAATGTTGTGTTAGTACATTTGCTCAAATATAGAGCAAAGGGACTCAGTTACACACACATATACATTCTTTTTGATATTCTTTTCCATTATAGTTTATCACAGGATATTGAATATACTCGCCTGTGCTCCACAGTTTGATCTTGTTGTTTATCCATCCTATATGTAACAGTTGGCATCTACTGATACTGAACTTCCTGCCTTGGCAACCACAGTCTGTTCTCTATGCTGTGAGTCTGTTTCTGTTTCGTAGATAAGATCATTTGTGTCATTTTTCAGATTTCACATATAAGCGATATCATATGATAGTTGTCTTTCTCTGTCTGACCACTTAGTAGGATAATCCCTAGGTCCATCCATGTTGCTGAAAATGGCATTATTTCATTCTTTTTATGGTTGAGTAGTATTCCACTGTATATGCATACCACGTCTTCTTGATCCATTCATCTGCTAATGGACATACAGGTTGCTTCCACGTCTTGACTGTTGTGAAGAGTGCTGCTATGAGCACTGGGGTGCATGTATCTTTTTGAATTGTAGGTTTGTAGGATATACGTCCCAGAGTGGGATTGTTGGATCATAAGGTAACTCTAGTTTTAGTTTTTCTGAGGAACCTCCAGACTAGCTTCCATAGTGGCTGAACCAGCTTGCATTCCTCCCAACAGTAAACTACTTTTATTTTTAATAGAAAAAGTCACATGAATCTAAGATAATTCCAACACTGAGAAGTTTTTATCAGTGATGATTAATGAGTTGTGGTCATGATCACAATAATACCAGTTACCTTTAATAACATAAATGCCCATTGTTAGGGGTATTAATAATTATATCGACTGCAGCAGTATCTATTTAGTGCTTACTATGTGCCAGGCACAGTTCTAGCCACTTTGTTGTAACAACCCATGTGATCTTCCCAGCAATTCTTTGAGATCAGTGCTACCAATAACTCAATTTTGTAGATGAAAAAGCAGAGTCACGGAAGTGAGGGGATCTGCCCAAGGCCCCGCGGCTACGAAGCAGCAGAGTCTGGGATCTGCCCAGGCGTCTGCCTACCCTCTGCCGTGGTAACAGGTCACAGGTCACAGACATCATGGGTGTAGTGCGACAGAAAGCCTTGCTCATATTTAATGGACCATCTGTTGTTCTCTGAAGAACAAGGAATTTCAGGATAAGAGAGAAGAATGCTGGTCTCCATGGTTTTAACTGCTTGTATATCTCCTTTAAAGGGAGATCGTGGGCCAAGGAATACGTCTTACAAAGATCAAGTTTGACACCTTGCTTATGCTCTGCTGTTAAAGCCTCACGTTTGGCTGGAACCTGCAGGGTCTGCCTGAGGAGGCCTCTTGAAGGCCTGGGGCCCCAGAAGACAAGGCCACAGGATTTGGGAGCCACTGCCCTGCTCACACACAGTAGTGTGACAGTGGTGGACTCAGGCCCTGTCACATACGTGGAGCTGTCTCATGCTGACCCGTTTCCTGGAGATGGGACAGGAGATCCCTGGGTCTATGATGTCACAGTTTGTATTGGAATGTTTGCAGTAAATGGTACCCACACATGCAGCTGGTGGTGCAGTGAAGCCATCTGTACCTGCAGCCCCCACCCCCACAGCAGGAGTAGGCGATGATGAACCCGCATCTTACGCAAGCATCCATGTGTGTTATCACGTCTGTTTGTTAGGCTCACTGGGCTGTGAGCTCCTCAGGGTAGGAACCCACCACATGGTCTTCATCTTTCACGTGCACAAGGTCCCCAGGGCAGGGTGGATGCCCAGTAAATAGTTCCTAGGGAAATGGATAAGTTCGTGAAGTTCAGAGGGAGGAGATCCCTGGGATTTAGGGGATCAACTTTATGGATGAGCGATGTGAGCTCTAAAAGCAATATTTATGGCTGTATTGATCTAAGGCTTCCCTTAGGGAAAGTGAACTTCTTCATAAAGTTTCCTTCAGCCAGCATGGACTGCAGGGATTATAATATTTGTAATCCCTTTTTAAGATTTCCTTCCACAATTTTAAGGAAATTCTAAGAGCTCTAGGACATTCTAAGAGTGGCTAACTGAATGTGGATAGGAAGCTCAAGTGCATTCCTAGGGAGGGATTTCCATTCTAGCTGTGGTGTAACCACTGGTGTTAGACTCCCCCCACTAAGAACACTATAAAACCCATGGGCGGGAATTGGGGGGCAATGAGAGTAACAAGACTGAGGAGCCTTGGACCTAACAAGGTTTTGGTGAACCCAACAGGGAGTGCCAGATCAATGATGGTCCATTAGGGATCCTGTATGAGGTAGAAATGGCCAGTCGTCAGCAGGAGACTTCCAAGAGAGGGCGTGACGGTGGACTAAAATTTTAAGTGGGCCCTGAACACCCTGAGTTAGCAGCTGCCACCCAAACATACTCACTTGAAAAGAAGGCAAGTCCTTGTTTGAAGGGACTTCAAACCTTTGAAGGGTGGTCTGAGCAGCACACTCCATGGGGGCCACAGAGTCTGGACGTGAAGGTATCATGGGCGTAGCCTGGATGTGAAGGTATCATGGGCGTAGCCTGGATGTGAAGGTATCATGGGTGTAGCCTGGACATGAAGGTATCATGGGCGTGTAGCCAGAGGTACAGAGGGTAGGGAAAAAAGAATGGGGGCAGAAGCAATGTTTGAAGAGACACTGATCAAGAATTTTCCAAAACTGATGAAAGATGACAAGCCACACATTCATGGAACCCTAAAAATTATCAGCAGGATAAAAATAGTCACAAAGCACCAAGTATATCACAGTTAAACTACTAAGCATTAGAGACAAAAATAAATCTTAATAGAAAGCAGAGAAAATAAGCATATCCTTTAGACAAGCAATGTGAAGGATACTAATGACTTTTCAATAGAAACAATGGAGTCTGGAGGACAGTGGAAGGAATCTTGAAAGTAGGTGTTGTGAGATACCATGTCTGCATCTGGGTGGCAGCCACACAGGTCTGAGAACCTGGTAGAAATGTGCTGAGCTGTATAATTAAAATGTGTATCCTTTCCTGTGTGCATGTGATAGTTTAATAAAACTATCTACCAAAAAAGGACTGTGTGAACATATCCAAACAAAAAGCAAATGAAAAACATGATCTAATTTACAGTTTTGAAAGCTCCTATGTATCCTGTGTTTAGATCTGCTTATAAAGGAGAAAAGGTAGAAGCTAGGAACCACTTGGGCTTCCCAGGTGGCGCTAGTGGTAAAGAACCAGCCTGCCATTGCAGGAGAAGCAGGAGACTCAGTTTTGATCCCTGCAATAGGAAGATCCCTTGGAACTGGGCATGGCAACACACTCCAGTATTCTTGCCTGGAGATCCCATGGACAGAGGAGGCTGGGAGGCTATAACCCACGGAGTTGCAAAGAGTTGGAAACAACTGAAATGACTTAGCACACACACAGAGGAACCATTTAGACTGCTTAGGAGGCTACTACAATAGCACAGATGGACTAGGGAGGTGGTAATAATGAAAAAGGAGAGAACTGATAAAATAAAGGAAGAGTTTTGCAAGACAGTTCACAGTTGGGTGGGTGTAGAGGATGAAAGGAAGGATGAGGTTGAGAAGATATTTAGAGTTTGGCATCAGTCACTGGGTGGCTTCCCAGGTGGCACTAGTGGTGAAGAACCAGCCTACCAATGCAGACCCGGGCTCCATCCCTGGGTGGGGAAGATCCCCTGGGGGAGGGCCTGGCAACCCACTCCAGTGTTCTTGCCTGGACACTCCCATGGACAGAGGAGCCTGGTGGGCTACAGTCCACAGGGTCACAAAGAGTTAGACACAGCTAAAGTGACTTACTGTGCACACCACTGGATGGATGGTGGTGTCCGTTACTGAGATGGTGATTTCTTTGAGAAGTGTGCATGGAAAATAAAGGATCCCATTTTTGACATATTTATTTCAAATATTAGACACCTAACTGGAGGTGGAATATCAGTTTAGATCTGATCATTTTTGGCTAACTTTTCATTTTAATTTCTGTTTTTATTATGCATATATTCATGTATATACAACATATAATCTTTGTAAGTGTAAAAATGTGATTAGAATACATACATTCACTTACTGCAGTTTCTCTTTTCCTTCTTTTTAAATTTGAACCCCTACTCCTCTTTCAGTCTTGACACTTGGTTCTCCCAAGGTCATTGTGTAGACAGCCATGTAGGTGGCCTTACATTCTATAATCCGTACTCTGAATTATCACAAATAGCAGGTGAGCACTGCTTGTTTTTAAAGACCAGATTGTTAGTCAGACTTATCTACATCACTTGGAAATTCCTCATGGAAATCTCACCAAGTGACCTTATTAAACTTCAGTTTAGTATACTTAATGGTGGCCCTATATTCCACGGGGGTGGGCACTATAGCTAACTTAACAATGCCTCTATTGGGCATTTCTACTGTTTTCTACTATGAACATTGCTGAAATAAACATTCTAGGATCTATGTCCCTAGATGCCAAAGATTTTATTCTATGAGAAGTTTTCAGGGGAGAATTTCCAGGTCAGAGAGCAAATGTATTTTTAACTTTAATAGATGTTGTCATGTTGCCTTCTCTTCCTTCGAAAAACTGCGACACTTTATAATTCCTCTAACAATGTGTGAGTACTCTTTCTCATATCACTACTAATTCTGAATTTTTGCCAGTCTACTGGATGTAAAGAATACTTACTATCATTTCAATTAATCTTTTCTCAACATTAATAAATTTGGGTATATTTTCATATTTTTGTCACCTGAATATGTTGTTCTGTGAATTGCCTATTCATATCTTTAAACATTTTTCTATTGATTGGTCTTTGTTTTTTTATTTAACTTATATTTTTAACTGTCTTCATCACAGCTAATTTTGTGTTATAGATATTAACTGATTGTCATCTGAGGTATAAATGTATTTTTTCAAATCTGTTATTTGTATGAAGTACAAATATATATTTTTATATGTATGTTATTTGTATATAGATTGTTCATAGCAAATTTTTAGCTTTTAATATTATATATGTAATCTATTAGGTTTTCCTGGTGGCTCAGCGGTAAAGAACCCACCTGCCAATAAAGGGGATGTGGGTTTGGTCTGTGGGTCAGGAAGATCCCCTGGAGAAAGAAATGGTAACCACCCCAGTATTCTTACCGGGGGAGTCCCACGGACAGAGGAACCTGTAGGGCTAAAGTCCATGGGGTCACAAGGGGTCGGCCATGACCGAGTGACTGAGCCTGCACACACAGACAGACAGACAGACACACCAACATTAGAGTTTATACACTGTGGCCTACATTTTCTCACTAGAGTTTTATTTCTTATATTTGATTGCTTTATTTTCCGAGAACTTATTTTTTGCATGAGATAATTTTGCATGTGTGCATGCTCAGTTGCTTCAGTCATGCCTGACCCTTTGTGACCTCAAGGCTTGTAGCCCACCAGGCTCCTCTGTCCATGGGGTTGTCCAGGCAAGGATACTGGAGTGGGTTGCCATGTCCTCCTTCGGGGGATCTTCTGGACCCAAGGATCTAACCTGCATATCCTGCGTTGACAGGTGGATTCTTTACACTGAGCCACCCGGAGAGCCCACAGACATTCTTGTTGCTATTGTTCAGTTGCTAAGTCATGTCTGACTCTTTGCATTCCCATGAACTGCAGCACACCAGGCTTCCCTGTCCTCCACTATCTCCCAGAATTTGTTCAAACTCATGTTCACTGAGTCGGTGATGCTATCCAACCATCTTGTCCTCTGTCGTCCCCTTCTCCTCCCACCTTCAATCTTTCCCAGCATCAGGGTCTTTTCCAGCGAGTCAGCTCTTCCCATCAGGTGGCCAAAGTACTGGAGCTTCCCCTTCAGCGTCAGTCCTTCCGATGAGGAGTATTGAGCTGCCTCTCATGCTTCTGTGTGGATCAGGAGTTGTGTCAGCATCATTTTCGAATGATCCATTATGTCTGCACTGGTCCAAGCTATCTCCTCTGCCCCGCGTTAAGTTTCTACGCACGCTGTGGAAGGTGTCAGGACTCGTGGTTCAGCGCGGTGCTCTCCTGGTTGCCGTCTACACCAACACCACGGTGATCTCACGTCAGCGGCGCTGCGTTACGTTCTGATACCTGGTCGTGCTCCCTCCGTATTACTGCTCTCCATGATGTTCTTGACTTCTTCTGGATTCTTGGTCCTTCATGTAGGTGTAATATCATTTTTGCCAACTAAAAGCTTTGTGTTTTACGTGGAATTACTTTAAATTTGCATTACATTAATTTTGGGAGAATCACCACTTTTGCAGTAATAAATCTTCCCTCAGTCTTTCCCAGCATCAGGGTCTTTTCCAAAGAACTGGGTCTTCACATCAGATGGCCAGATTCTGGTTTTAATAGTTTGGGTTCCCAGTAGATGCTCAATCCTTAGCAACCAGATGTGGCTTCACTTCTACTTTCTCTCTGTTTATACAAGGTTATTTACTTTCTTGCCTTACC